AAAAAAAAATGTGAGTTTTGTAACTATAAATAATTATTAGAATAATAAACAAATTTTTTTTTTTTGGTCTCCACTAAAAGTTTTGTGGTTGTGCTCCGGTGAGAATGATGCTCAATAAAAGAAATAAAAATGCATCGTAGCTATTAGATCGGATGATCTGATGGCTAAAAAAATTAGTATTTATTTATTCATTAAGGGTATTTTATAAATTTTATCGTTTTACTAATTAATTTGTGACAACTAAAAAATTACTCAAGTCCAATTATATCACGCCACGTGGCTAAAACACATCACACCTCTCATACCCCTCTCTCTCACGTACTGTAAGCCCGGACCAGATTTATATATTAGCTCGACTTTATTTCCCAGTAATAGTAAGTTCATAATTATGGCGTATATTAATTATTATTAATCGCATAATTTAATAAATCTTAAGTCTAAGCCATGGAGAAAACGTTTGAATTTTATTTCGAAAAGGAAATAAAATATTAAGTCTAAGTCTCGATTTATTATTTTAATCGAGTATTAGAAAACTCCGGAATTTATTTAATTTCCGAACGATTCCAATTTCCAGGCTCATTTAATAGGGCCATTTTATTTCGGCCAACTGGCCTAACTATTTAATCGAGACATCTTAAATCCTAACCGAATATTTTATCAATATTAGTCATTGATCAACACAAAATTAATGGCTATGGTTGAGTTTCACGTACTCATTTTAAAAGTTGTCCTCATTTGATTCAACCCCTATTTATGTGTGTGTGTATGTGTGTGTGTAGTGGGGGTGGGGGTGGCGGTGGGGGAGGAGATTTAATATGTTGATTTTTAATTTATCCACATTTTAATCAAATTTACCAAAAATTCTTGAAATGTTGATATTAAATGTACCAATATTTTCTTCAAACTCAAATTACGATAAACTTTTGAATGTTATTTTCAATTTACCAATTTTTTCTCAAATATAAAAATAGTTGGATAATTCCTTTGCGATGCTAAACTAATATCTGTTTGTGCAATTCACTCAAATATAGTATTGTTAAAATTTTCTTCAAGTCATTAAAATATATCATTACTAGAAATTCAAAATTAATAAAAGAAATAAAACATATTATTGTTGAAAGTTAATCATCATGTTTGTTCTAACTCACTCTAACGTATTGAACACTACAAAAAAAATGTTATATTCCAACGAAAAATTCTATTGTAATATATGCCAAGAGAAATTCCAACGGATATTTCAATTGTATAGCTTTCATTTGAATGATTCCAACGAAAATCCAACGAAAATATTATGTTGGAATTGTTTTTCATTGAAATTTTAGATGAAATTTGATAGTTCCAACGATTATATTTCCAAAAGTTTTTTATCGTAAGAATCTCCATTGGAATATACAATTTATGTTGGAATTATTATTTCCACCACTATTGGAAAATCTACCGTTGAAATCGTCAAAGTCCAACGGAAATTCCAATGGAAAGCTCATTCTTGGAATATTTTTGTTGAAATTTCCGTTGGAATCCATTAAAAAATTCAAACGGAACCATCGAAATTTTCATTGGAATTCTTACGAAATATATTTCTGTTAGAATTTCATCATTTTTCTTGTAGTGTAATCATAAAAACTAGCAAGAAATATGTACAGCTATTTATTTAAAAAACTTTTCACAAATAAATTGTACTAAAAAAACACTTAATTATTTATATTATATCATAAATAAAAATACTTTCTTTTTTGATTCATTAATTCATTATTTGTTTTAAATTATTTGATATTTTTATTGTTTAATTATTAGAATACATAGTAGCATGAACAATGTGTGTGTTAATTTAATAATTTCATCAACGATTTCTCTGAGAAATATAGCGTGTATGAAGTCCAAAATAAACCAATGAGGTGGCTAAATTCCATTGGCTTATAAATAGGGAATGATTCCGTGAAAATGAACCATGGGACTTGACTTTTTCCAATATTTTATATTAAAGAAAGTAAAGGCGTTGACATCGGCTGACTGTGAAATGCTGAATTTTCATTTCAGCCCCTAATACTTGTAATAATTCCGAAAACTCCTTTTGCATTTTCATAATTCCACATTTTTTTTTTTGGAAATCATAATTCCATAATCTTAGTATTAACATTTGATGCATCCATCTCCGGAATGTTACTTTTCATCGCCTCCTTATTACTATGTACCGTCTTCTTTTGGACAATTTTGACCCTGTTATCTTTTTCAAAAAGAAAAAAAAAAATCGTCACCGTGCACGGCCCAGTTGTTGGGTGGTCGGCCATTATTTTTTTAATTATTACTTGTAAGATTTTTATTTATTATAGAACTTATGTCAGAATTTAGAAATTATTATGTTATAAATTAAAATTTATTATTATGTTATAACTTAGAAATTATTATGTTACGAATTAGACTTTATTATTATCTTATAAATTGGAATTTATTATTATTATCTTAGAACTTAGAAATTATTATGTTAGAAATTAGAATTTATTATCTTATAGAATTTATTAATATTATGTTAAAACTTAAAAATCATTAAGTTATAAATTAGAATTGATTATCTAGTAAAATTATTTCTACATTAAAAAATTCCGCTTTTTTGATTTTTTTAGAGTGAACTGCTAAACACTGCTCTCTTTTACTACCTACGGCCTCATTGGACTGTTTTGTCACTGCTTTTTTCAAAAAACTAAATATATATATATATATATATATATATATATATCTAGCCGGCCGACCGCATGGACGGCCAGTACAGCCGGCTGGCAGGAATATATATATATATATATATATATATATATATATATATATATTACAAATCAAATTTTTATTTATTATAGAAATTGTGTTAGAATTTAGAAATTATTATGTACAAAGTAAAATTTATTTATTATTATTATTACATTAGAACTTAGAATAATCAATTCTAATTTATAATGTAATAATTTTTAAGTTCTAACATAATAATAATACATTCCAAGTGATAACATATTAATTTATAAATTCTAACATAATTTCTATAATAAATAAAAATTGATTTTAAAAAAAAAAATTGGTCGACCCGCGGTACCGGTTGTAACACCCCGCCTTATCGTGAAATCAGAGTGCGTAATTTCGCAAAGTTATTTAAAAATAAAATCTTTTAATTTGCGAAAACTGATTCGGGGTGCTACCGTAAAATGTGACTTATTTTGAGAAACCGTTATTTTAAATTTTTAACAAAAATCTACGATTTACTGAAAAACATTAATTATCTGAAAGTCTGTTCAAAAGATAAGTTCGTCAAAATCAAAATCAGCGGAAACATAGCATCATCAAAATATATACAATCACATGCATAAAAGTCCTGAATCATCTGTCATCTCACGCCCCCGACCCGACATCCTGACCTGAAAAAACATGATAAAAGTGGGTCGTGAGCAATATAACACTGTGCTCCGTGGAAACTCATACTAAAGTAAACAGTGAATATAATAACAATATCATGATCCTGGTATATACGTAACCTGAACATGAAACCGATAATAACATGAACATGAATCTGATATCATCACGTGAACGTGAACCATGACCGTTACCTCATCTGCCAGCATAAAAATGTCGGACACCGTGTGCACACTCTAGTGGGCAGACTAAGGCCACTAGAACCCAGAATGGACCGGCGACCATTCCG